GTGGTGTTTTTGAGGATGGCTATTCTAACAGGGTTGAGGTGGAATCTTAGTGTGGTTTTGATTTGCATTTCCTTTATAGCTAGAGATGGTGAGCATTTTTTCATGTGCTTTTTTGCCATTTGAATTTCTTCTTTTGAGAATGTTCTGTTTAGTTCAGTTCCCATTTTTTAATTGGTTCATTGATTTTAAGAGAGTTTAGTTTCTTAAGTTCCCTGTATATTCTGGTTCACAGTCCCTTGTCTAATGTATAGTTGGCAAATTTTTTTCCCACTCTGTGGTGGTCTCTTCAGTTTAGAGACCATTTCTTTTGTTGTAAAGAAGCTTTTTAATTTTATTAAATCCCATTTGTCCATCCTTTCTCTTAGTTGCTGGGCTGCTGGGGTTCTATTGAGGAAGTCCTTGCCTATACCTATTAGGTGCAGAGTGTTTCCTGCTCTTTCCTGTACTAACTTTAGAGTTTCAGGACTGATGTTTAGATCCTTGATCCATTTTGAGTTGATACTAGTACAGGGTGATATACATGGACCTAGTTTCAGTTTCTTGCAGATGGTTAACCATTTTTCCCAGCAAGATTCATTGAAGAGGCTGTCTTTTCTCCATCGTATATTTTTAGCACCTTTGTCAAAAATAAGGTGGGCATAGTTGTGTGGTTCACATCCAGGTCCTCTATTCTGTTCCACTGGTCTTCATGTCTGTTTTTGTGCCAGCACCATGCTGTTTTTATTGCTATAACTCTACAGTATAGTTTGAAGTTGGGTATTGTGACACTTCCAACATTGCTCTTTTTGCTCAGTATTGCCTTGACTATTTGAGGTCTTTTGTGCTTTCAAATGAAATTTAGGGTTAATTTTTAAATTTCTGTGATGAATGTCATTGAGATTTTGATGGGAATTGTGTTGAATGTGTAGATTGCTTTTGGTAGCATAGCCATTTTTACTATGTTGATTCTGCCAATCCACGAGCATGGGAGATCTTTCCATCTTCTGTAGTCTTCTTCAGTTTCTTTCTTCAATGGTTTTTAGTTTTCCTTGTAGAGGTCATTCACATCTTTTGTTAAGTTTATTCTTTGGTATCTGATTTTTTTTGAGACTATTATAAATTGAATTGTTTTCTAAAAATTATTAATTTTAAATATAGTGAGCTTACACACAGACATTTCTTAAACTTCTATAGTAGCTCAGTATTTGTGTTGGTTCTTTCTGTTATTTATAGAAATCTCATGTGTAAATAATGACAGTAATGAGTTGGGAAGTAGCAGTCATTAGTGAACACACTTTTTCTGGTCTTAATTTAAATGTGTTTCAGTCCGTGTTCCTAAGAGAGAAGAGTCAAGACTTGGTCTGACACTTTATCTGGGAGGTGGGTTAAGGAATGGAGTAGGAAACAGAGAGGGAGAAACCAAAGGAAGAATCTCAAAGAAACTGGTGTGCTACTGCTGGCTCAATTCCTCCTCTGCCACCAGGAATGGATATGTCCCATAAAACGCTGCCAGGAAACAAGACTGGGGCATTTTTTCCCTCCCATTCTTGCACAGGAGCTGAGCTTCTTTCTTAGAGCAGGCCTTAGATCAGAAAATTGTGTGGTGCAGGCTCAGGGTGGGATGCTCTCAGACTGATCTCAGCTCACCAGACTACAACCAAAACTGGAAGTGCACAGAGGAGATGTGACAGAACTCCAAGAGCACCCACTTCATTCCACCTCTCACACCACTCAGATCCACTCATGCCACCTTTTGTCCACTCTGGACTTTTTAAGCAAGAGTCCAGTTGTAGCTTCTAGGAAACTCAATGCAGGTGCATTTGTAGAATTGGCTCCTCCCCATGGTTATCGCTATTCACAGGCTGTGATTGCTATTTTCATTTCTTTCCTCCACCATTCTTTCAAAGTTCCCTCACTCTTGGCCATTACTTCAGCTGCAATAAACTGCTTGCTTGCTGCAGGGATCCTCACCTTTTATCCTGACATATCAGATCCTTGGTTGCTGCGCTCTTAACAGGTTGGGGACCATGGGAAGAATGAGGAAATTCTGTGAATTCTCTGTCCACTATGTAGCAGTAACTGTAGCCTTCAAATGACAAGATACATTGACACTATAATTCCTTTCTTTGCTGCTACTTTGCACTAAAGGGCAAAAACAGCTGTAGATAGTACAAAAACAATTCTGCAAAGTTAATTTCCTTAGTATGACCTGCAGCCTAAAATAGTGATCCCCAGAGGCATCAGTCACAATCATTCATTTATTGCTTTATCCTGCCACCTCATTTTTGATTGGTTAGGTTCCCAAGAAGGGCGGGACTGTACTGATATCTCAGCATGTGCTCTGCTGCTGGCAGCTCAAGTATCATTGGTAGTGACCATCAGAATCTCCTCCTGTCAGAGGACCTCCATTCTAACCATCTTTGCAAGCCTGTTCTGCAGCCCACTGAGCAAGAATTGGAGTGGTCCATAGGCATTTTGTAAATGAGTCATGTTACTTGTCAAATGGACATACATCCTATGGGTGCTATTAAAACTCAAAAGCATAGTTCATGCAGGATGGGGTCAAAGACAGGGAAAGGGGTACTTGTACTTCCTCTTTAACATCTTTCTCCAAGCTTTCCTTTCTGTCTTACTCCCTCACCCAACATACTAAGAGAAGCAACCCAAGAATTCTAACTGGAGCATAAAGAGGAACAAGCATTCATTTATTCCTGTGGTTTATTTTAATGAAAATCAATTGGTCCCATTTGGTAGAGAATAATTCTGACACCCAAGAAAATAAAAACAAACTATATATAAATATATTCACATTCTTCAGTAAATTTCTACAAACATTTTGTTTCTACCTTATAGAAAATAAACTCATACATTTTAATAATGTTCCAAGTTTAGAAATATTTAAAAAGTTAAATGTTTTAACTATCATAAAAAGTATATACAAAATCCATTACAACACAAAAGGAAGTTAAGTATAGTAGGTTATGTTTAAGTTCTTAATAATTTGAAAAGTAAGCTTAATAATTTTGGCTGTGTTCTTTGTTCTAGAAGTTTCATTGGGTGTATAAATTAATGATACGTGTTTCTCTCTGTGTGATGAAGAAATGCGTATGTAGGGAACTGTAATTAAGGCACAGTAACATAAAAAGCAGAAATTGCACCAAAAATAGAAAAATACTAACTGGCCTAAGTATTCATAAAATAACCAGAAAGAAAGATGTATATTGTGAGATGATGCCTCAATCCAATGTCATAAAAACAGCAGGCAGAGTATGGTAGTACACATCTGTAATCCTAGCATCTGGAGGTGAAGGGAAGAGGATCCTGAGTTGAAGGACAGCCTGAGCTACACAGTACTTTCAGGTTACTCTAGTATACATAGTGACACCCTGTCTCAAAATATCAAAAGAAAAATTTGCTTCCAGTGCAGAGATAAAACACAAATCTATGTCCCTGACTAATTCTGCAACAACATGGGCACCCATGGGATCGAAGATATTTGAAGACCTCCACAGTCCATAGCTGATGATCTCCCAGCTCCCTTAATTCAAATAAGAATTTGCTTTTACATACTGGCGCTACATGCAATATGACCTCCTGAATTGCATCCCCAAACAATAAAGAATATGAGTGGAAGACTGATAGAATGTGAACAAAGTTACAGTGCAGTCACAGCAGTGTCCCAATGTTTTATCATAGCTTTGACAAATGAACCTTGGTATAAAAATGTTAACATTAAGGAGACCTGGGCAGAGGACACAATGGAACTTTCCACATTATCTCTGCAACTTTTCTGCAGATCTCAAATTATTTGAAAATAAAAAGTTCATTAAAAAAGGGTGAGGGAGACATAAATATACACCTGTGTACATAAGAACACAAAATTGAACTGTATTGATGCTCTGACAATAGCAACAGAGAGGAGTACACAGCGTCACTTCAGAAACAACCCATGGGGACAGTAGGAAGTAGTGATTGGGAAGAGGGGTGTGAGGGCTTCCATGTTCTGGTCATATTTGATTTTTTGACCTGGGGGTAGAGGTCACACTGTGTCTTCATTTTATGGTAATTCACTGAACTGTACTTCTTGCTACATTACCCTTCACAAAAAAAGAAGTATTAGTGGTAAAGAGTTCCCTATTTTTGTTAAGAATAGAATGAAGAGAACTTAGGGATGTAAATGAGGTGTACAAGCAGCAGGTGGAACTGGCAAGGACAAAAATAATAGTTCTTAAAACAGAATCTAAAATTTTCTTTGCTAGTGAGGATCTTGGAAATTTGCAAATCCAACAGTGGTCAGCTCTCCATGGAGGACATCTTAGCCAAGTTCCTCAGAAGGTTCAGGTGCTCTATTATCTACCACTGAGCTACCCTGTGAGGTAAGCGACACTTCAGGCTGCAATGTCCCAGAAACGGTACAATAACCATATCACCAGACCCTGGCCTTCTACTGCACTTGCAGACCAGAGCTCCAGTCAAGGTTCCTGAAAACTATCAGCAAGTTCTACCAACCACAACAAGCTTATCAGAGACACTGTTTTCTATCAGCAGGACTTCTTTCATCCTAGAAATCACATTGTTTTTTCTGACATACCTTAGATTTCATTCATACAGCATTAATAGATTATCATTTATTCCACAATGTCAGATCACAGATTCATAGACTATTAAATCTGGAGGGATAGGGGCCGACCTAATCATTCCAAAGATGAGGAAATTGATGTCAGATCCATTAGTAACTTGTCAAGACTTTCTAGAACTTGATTCTCCTTTCATGAGTCAATAAACTAGACTGGATTATTTCTCAGGGTTACTGTCTGACAACTTGAACTGATACATATTAGGCTTTAGCTCAGATTCTTTTACCTGTAATTGACTTTGTTGTGAATGGTTCAGTTGGAAAATGATCATTGCTAAACCATAGTGTGATGGCAATTAAACAGAAGTTAACAAAAAAAATCTTCATCAGATATTTAAAACAAATCAAGGAGCTCATTATTCAGGGTAATTCATGGCAAATTCAATAGGAATTTAAAAATTTCTTCTTTGGTAGTACTTGGATTTGAACTGGGGTCTTGTGTTTTCAAGCAGGCTCTCTACCACTTGAGCCGCACACCCAGCCCAAGATTGTTCTTGTTAAAATATAACAATTGTAGAAAGGTGATTGTGAGGAAGATAATCATCATGGAAGCCATTGCCACGTGGTTCTTCCACAAGCCCCAAGGTGAGAGATCGATGTTCTGCATTCTCAAGAATTCTTCACCAGTACATCTGCAATTCAACACATGAAAATGTAACTCCATTCCTAGCATACGTCACATCGTACTCAGTATATTCACTGTGTCTTATTTAAAAGTCTTTAGGTTAACTACATCGTTAATAATCATTCCTTCATCCACAGTCACTGGTGCTTACAACTTTGGTGGATGCCATGCTAAGCAACTTGCATCTAAAGCTCAGTTAATTTCTAAAATCATCCAAACTGGCAGATATTATACACACTTAAAAGAGGAGGAGAAGGAAGCCTAAGGAACTTGGCCAAGTTCACAGTCACCTTATGAACCAAGTTTCAAGCTCCTCAGATTCATTCATTTACAAATCTATAATGCTGCACTCTGCAAAGGGCAGAGGATTTATCAATTAACTTTTCACTTCCTGCTGATGGGGAAAACCTCAGCTTTAACCAAGGACACCTAAGGCCCTCCTGAAGATCATCAATACTCTCTGTGGCTCTGCTCACTCATAGGTCAGCTATGCACAGAACACTGACTAAGAATTCTAAACCTGGGCACAGTGGGGAGAAGGGCATCAGCCACAATCACTTTCTGTCAACTCTCACTCCAAGCCTCCAATGAGCATCACAGACACTCAGGTACAGGAAGTCACCAGCAGCCCAGGTATCAGATTACACTCAGGCAGCAGCTGGAGCAGAGCAGGATGGAGTGGCCTGCCACAGGCCAGAAACACACCTGGTACTAAAACCACCAGGTGCAGAAACAGTTATTGCCTGCTGCCATTCCTATGCATCTCTTGGGATTTAGTGACCCCAAAACCTGCCATGGCCTCTCCTCCATCTTGTGAGGATGAGCCTTATGGGAGTGAGAGGCTCTTAGTGGCTTCTCCTTATCTGGTCCCATTTGTCTTGTCAACCTCTTCCTGTACAGCAAGCTGGCAGGGACTTTGTGTTACAAAGACGCCATGCTCAGATCAAACCCAAGGGAATGGGCAGTGTAAAGCAAACGTCTCCTCACAGAGGTTTTTCCTGTGAATAACTCAACAGAGATCTGTTACATCATTAGAATTATTTAATACTATTTAAAAATTGAGGATTTAAGATAATAGCATTCTCTTTTCTCTTGTTAATTTATATATCAAAATCAAAACATAACAATCATAGAAAAATATTAACATTTTAAAACAAGAGCTTCTAATTTTATTAGAACCTGCATTTCTCTTTTAGTGACATTAAGGAAAAATCAAATTTCCTTCTCAACTTCATGAAATATGTGTTTCTTTCTTTGAGAATGCATCCTCTGATAGTTTCCCAACATAGTTTAAACACACACACACACACACACACACACACACACACACACACACACAGAGCTGTACAGCTTTTGATTTCCTGCATTCTCTCAAAGGGAGGAGGCAGAGGGAAGTGCCTGCATCCTGACAGGCGATGTCCACATGCTTTGTGCTCTTGCTGCCTTTCAGCTGTCACTGCTGTCCACAGGCTGGGCTCAGAGGCAACATCTAATCCATGCAGTTCAGAGACCTCAAGCCCTTGCTAAACTATCAAAGCAGCTCTTTTCTAACTCAAATACTCTGAAAAGTAAGCACTGAAACCTACAATTAAAATATCAAAGTGATCTTTCACAAGGCCCAAAGGAAACATTTCTATATACTGTGTATGATTTTTACTGTAGAAGAACAGGAGTACAGCATGCACACATGCAGTAGGGCACAGTGACTCACTTTACAGTTGAGAAAACTTAGACACAGAAAGGTTATTGACCCTGAACTCACTGGTACCAGTTGTAGGCCCAGGGACCTTTCTACATCACACTAAATGGTAAGCAAACCCAAGAGGACATTGGACACAAACTTACATTACGTAGTTTGGACAGCTATTACTTTCTGCTGTATTAAGATCTGGACAGAAGTTTTGCCCCAACAATTCATTATGCTGCAAAGCCTGTAACACAGGGGGAGCAGGGCAAGATAAACAGTTTAAAAGTTTCCAAAGAAGAAACAATTGTATCTTCAAGCTTAATCTTTATTTTTACTTCTCAAAACACCATGTTTCATAGTCATAGTCTTTGCCCCATCAAAGCAGCTAAGAATCTAAAATTATTTCCCCAGGTAATCAGGAGGCCTTGGGTTGGGATGTTGCTTAATTGGCCAAAGGGGGAAACCTCTGACTAGATTACCCCAGAAATCATTCTTTCTTCCAGAAATTTTATAATCCCATAAACAAAACAATTAAAATGTTACGATGGTGTTCAATGGATATTGTTGATTTATTATAATGATGTTTTCTTCTTTGCTTTCATCAAAAACAGTTGTAATTAGGGGAGTTAACTGAGTTATACTGTCTTAAGATACAATTGACTTGCTAAAGCCAACATGCCTGTGAGTATTAAACAACTATTGTTTCCCTTCTAATTTCCCTTCTGATATAAACTATGTATTCTAGTTTCCCATTTTCTCACTTATTTCTTTACTGACTTGAAATCCAACAATGCTTTTCGACAACTGGGCCATTTCCACTTTGTTGTGAGATTTTCTCCCCACCCTTCATTTTCCTGAAGCAATATGGTGCCAGGAGAAATCCTCAGATGACTCTTGATCCTTTGCTAACCCAGGTTCACAAGAAATCCTTATCAATTGCTCCAGAAAGGAAATTCCTGGATGGGAGGCTTTCACACTCATGGCAGGGAACTGACATAGTAAGGCTTTATTTTGGTGCTTTCCCGCTTGGAAACCCAGTCACAATGACAGATAATGACTGCTTACCCTAAAGCCATAATGAGGAACACTGAAGTACTGAAGCCATGATAGTCCAGGAAGAATAGTTCCAAAAAACAATGATAGACCTGAAAAATACTACAAAAAGCCAACATCCACAAATCAGAACTGGACCAGTAATTTCATGATGAATTCTAAACAAGATCTTCTTTAAGAACCCTAAAACCTGGTAAGCAATTCTGCTAGGGCCAACTCTTCTGAAATTCTTTCCATGTACTCTAAAGGCTAATCTTCCCCACGCACGTGTATACCTCCACTTAGCAAAGGCCATTTCCAGTCTTAAAAGAAGGGCAAGGTGCCTATACTGCACATCACAATTTCCAGTTATTTTGAAGATCCGTAATTGTCTAAACTTTGCCTTCAACTTTCTCTGTAACTGCACACTGTGGAAGATTAACAAGCACAGTGTCCCTTGCATCGGAGGGGGATTGTTTCTTGTTCCACATGGCAAGATCTGTAAATGCTCCGGATATTTATTTTTACAATGGCACAGTTTTTGCGTGTAACTCGTGTATATCCATAGTACTTTACAGATATGTATCTTGTACATTTTTAATCATCTTCAGATTTCTTATGATACCTCCTACACCGTAAATGCTATGTGAACAGTTTACACTGCAGAGATGGGGAATAAAGGCATGAAAAGTAAAACTGCACATATTCAGGACAAACCAACTTTTTGTTTTATTGTTATATTTATTTTTTATCTGTAGTTGGCTGATTTGTTATTTGTAAGGATTTGTACTCTGTATCCATGATTTTAGGGATAATGTGGGGTTCAGAATACAGAATGCAGGCTTAAGATAACCCAATTCTCGAGCTGAGGAACGAATAGTGTGGTGGTGTACAGCAAACTGTGGCCAATACATCCATTGAAAGCTACCAAAAAAAGCAGTATTTCAATGGAGATGCCAGAAAGGACTGTCTGAGACTAACATGGGACAGCCATGAGGTTCACATACACTTGTCCTGATACTGGGCATACTGGCAATGTATAACAATGACAATATGGCTGGTGTGTGTGCATACATTTACACTTGACCTAATACAACATATCACCTCTGAGTAAAATATGGTTTCATGACATGTTTTCAAAGTTCTGTCTGTAATAATCAGTCAACAGTTCAAACTAATTGAGTGAAGCATTTTTATTTAAGCAGGGACATTTTCTTTACTGAATGACAATATAGGAAACACAAATAATATTAACTTTATCTCAATTATATACACTGGTATTTATCAAACTCAAAAATGAAGAATTAAATTTTGGAAAGAGTTTAAGTTAACAATGTACCATTTAAAGACATTTACTCCTTCTCTAGCAGAAAGGTCCTGCACATTCACAGGTTAAGCATTCAATTTACTTGATGTCATAGGGGAAAAGGAGACAACTGGTCCCTTCATCTGCTGATTCGTCTACCTGAGTGCAAAACTTGGAGCATGTAAGATTAGGACTATGTAACCATTTAAAAAATAAGCAAAAAAATGTGAAACAAGTGATGTCAGTAATTCAGAAAAGATATGACTTAGTATGTGGACTGCGGAATTTTCTTGTATTTTTAAAACACAGAGATACAGGTAAAACAGTCAGGAACCCAGGAAGGAGGTGACATAGCACTGTGGAATTTGAAATTTTCCAGTATTCTTAAGAGAATCTTTTTCAAACTACGACAGCATCCAAGATAGACTGAGCGTCCCACTGTGACACTCCTCATGCTTCTTCACTTTCACCTGGACAGTAGGGACACCAAACAGACCATATGCTGTGTTTGAATATCCAGTAGCTCTGGAACACCAGCACAAAAGGGAGGCAGGCAACCTGTCATTTATATGAGGTAACTGACCAATCAAAATTTTTTTCTGGTTTCTGAAGTTACAGTTTATCAAGGTTTCATAACACTGCATCAAGAAGTGTCTTTTTAAGCTCATTAGTAAGGACATGTTAACTAAATTATAGTAACAACATTAAACAGCAGCAGAAAAGGCTGTCTAAAGGCTGGTACCTTCTCTACTATGAACTATATTTCATTGTATGACCTCTTGAAAACATCAGAGTCTCAGGAACAGTCCTCAAGTAGGTTTATGCAACAGGTGAATGTGCAGAAGGAAAACCTGGAGAAATTCCTTCACAGAGAAATGCACTTTATACTCACCAGCATGAACACAAAGTAGATGGTCACAAGAAGTGTTGGTATCGACACAGCATTCTCACCTGCTCCAAAAGACAGTGATACAGAGCTGGCCGAATAACCCAACATCAAAACAGTAAATATCATAGTGAAGAAAGCCTTCCCGCTTGGGTTTAATCCTTCGAGAGGAAAGAAGGGGTTAGTCTCCAAGATTGTATGTTATGCAAATAACCACTGCAATGGTCTGACATACTAGTGTCAGAATTGAACAAAGACTCCTACTGTCCAATGATCCTGGCTCACCAATCTCAGTGTTTCCCTCCATGTTGCTGTATCGGTATCACTCAGTGTTCTTTTATGTACTTACTGCAAAAACACGTTTCCATGTAACACCTGTGTCCTTTTATATGTAATTACAAGCAATTTCTGAGTTCCTGAGATGGTGTGTTACAGGCAACACAACTGGCTGAAATTCTACTCTTATCTTCCTACATCAGTAGGAAACACTTATCTATCCAGACACCTCCACATCACTCAGTGTTTGCAGTAACTACAGTAATGAAGGCACTGGGATTAGGATCACTTGACCTTGGGGAAATGTAAAGTGCCTACAAACCTTGTTCTCCTAGACAAATCACCTCCTAACTCTGTGATTGAGAATGGGGATAAGGCAAGTTTCATAAAGTAATTTGTAATTTGTGAACTAATGCTCTGTGTCATACAGTCTGAAGATTTTGGAATAGTCAATACTAATCAGGAGTCTGGGTGGTCTAGAGTCCATGCCTCATTCTTCATGACACACCTCTGCTCTGTAAAACAAAAGTCTGAAGCTCTGTCAGAGGTTTTTATCCCGTAGGGTATTGTCAAGATAGATCTTTCTGGGGTGTGTGTGCGCGCGTGCATCAAATGAAATATATGGAAATTCTAATTTAATGTGTCAGGGATGAAGCCAAGCTTTTAATTAACTAATCAGTCTACCTCCCCACCAAACAACTATTTATATTAAATGAACAAACCCTAAGTCAACATCTTTTTTTTTTGTTACAGAATGGGAGAGAAAGAGAATGTAAGTGTGCTTGATTTTTTACATATGTATATATATATATTCCTATAGATAGTAGAGATATTACCTACAGCTATATTTTATCTCTGTATAGATCTATATAAAAAGGACAATATATAGGTAAATAGGCAATAAATATTCCAGATTCTCAGCACAATAGTTTTATAAGTTCTTTTCATACCTATTCACGGCACATAGCATCTGTCAGTAAAACATAATTTCATAAGTAGTTTTAAAGTTCAGTTGGGAACAAATCTTGACAATAACATCCACATTGAACAGCTTTTTAGGAAGTACACAATGGGTACATGCTTCCTTAGCTTATGGCTGGGTTTGTAGTTGTGTGTGTGTGTGTGTGTGTGGTGGTGCTGCTGAGGTTATAACTCAGGGCCTACACCTTGAGCCACTCCACCAGCCCTTTTCTGTGATGGGGGTTTTTGAATTAAGGTCTTTCAGAGTATTTGGCCAGGCTGATGTTCAACTGTGATCCTCCTCTCGGCCTCCTGAGTAGCTAGGATTATAGGCATGAGCCACAGACACCCGACTTCACTATAGTGTTGGGAACCAAGATCACTCTAGAGACACCTCCTTTTTGTTTTGTTACTTACCTACCATGAAGTATAGTATAAAAGTGAATATAATACTTGGTAATAACCTTCTGGGAATTAACTCAGATATCAGTTTTCCAAAGAAGTATGGTAACATTCTATAGTAGCCACTGATATGCTCATGTCTAAAAATAGAAATACACATCAAATGTGCAGATTAGTTTACAAAGGCACACACCAGATGAGATGATTTCTGGGCAGACTTCTGCTTCCCCACCCCTCCAGGTTTAATGAGACAGCATTCCACGTCTTCACCCTCTCAGGCACCAGATTTCCCGGGTACCACCCCCATGAAGAGGTCTTTATGACCCTCTCTTCTCATAAACCTCCCTCCTGCTGCCCTCCGCTCTGACCCCAGAGCTCCCTCTCCAGGAAAACAGACTGTGTCTCCTCACTCTTCTCAGAGACTCAGCTCCTCTGACACTGGCTCTCTGCACAACAGCACTTGGGAACTGAACTCAGGATAATGGCGGTTTTTCTCCTCCCCACTTCCTGTTATGAAGAAGGTGACTCTGCTTTTCTCCAAGGTCCCCAAGGCAGCATCCCTCACTACAGTCTTTTACTTCTGCTACTCTCACATCAAAAAAGGAAAAAGACTTCTTCAATGACCTCACCTCCAATGGCCAGCCCTGCCAGCTACCAACCCTAATCTTCCCACTTCCTGATACCTTTCTGCTGTCATTCCAAGCTTTTCCAGCAGTGTCTTCATTTTTCCCCTCTCTGAAGATTCCTGTCCTTGGCAAGTAAATATGGACAAAGCTCTTCCATGTTTTCGAAACACAAGAGACAACTCTTGCTGTGATGTAAAGCTGCCCTCTGGCTCTGTCCTCTCCTTCACCCACTGTGGGTGAAACTTTCTCAGGTTCTTTGTCAACTTTACCTCCCACCTCCAACTTGCTGTTGAGCCCACCACTTCATCTATCCTGAGCCCCTCAATCTTTTCTAGCTTGGGTTAGTAAGACCTGTTTTTCTCCTAAAACAAAAGATGCTTTCCCTCCCCTCTGTTGATGCACTCTCTGCAGCACTGAGTTTGCTGAATGCACCCCAACCTTGAAAGTCTCCTTCCCTCGGTAGCAGATGCCACAGGTTCTTGATTTTCTATCTGAATCATGATTGCTTTTACTCAGTTTATACTGGTAATCTCTATACGTACTTCTAAAGCCCATATTGTGGGCATAAGTGCATATAATTTATATTTGTCAACTAAAAATAATGAAATATAACACAAGAAAATAGTGGCAATCCATAGGATTGCATCTTAGGCCCAGTTCTGGATGTGACCAGGGTGGTCAACAGCAAGCAATGGCCCTTCTAGAACAGGGACTACTTACATAAAGAGCTTCTGCTCGAGCACGAAGAGCTCGCCAGAAGACACGCTGGTGATACACTGGAAGACTGTCAGCAGAAAGAGCAGCGAAGCTCTGCAGGACAGAATGGGAGCAGAGCACACAGTGAATTCAGTGCTATCAAGTGGATTTCTATCCACAGAACTCTGAATGCTTTAACAATGGCAGCAATGGTGAATCATAAATTAAAACTAAAGTAAGATTAAATAAGTAAAACAAAATTTAAAAAATAAAAAAGGTTAGTGCCTAGTTTCTCCAGAAACCATCTGAGGAAAGAGCTAAAGCTCTTCTTTACTTCTCTGGATTTTCCTACAAATAACAAAAAGGCCTGGCTTTCCACTTCATCTTTAAAATTTAGCTCATGACAGATTTTTCAATATTTTTTCAAATGTTCCTGCAACACAATATAAAGATCCCAGCCTGTAGATCCTGTGACAATTGTGATGCTGGGTTAGAAATGGCTTCCAAAGGGGCAGAAACCAAGTACTAGCAGCTTTGAAAAGAATTCTGAAATCTCAGCCTACAGGGAAGCTAAAAAGATGACATAACTCTGGAAAATCACCTCATTGTAGAGGAACAGTATCTGATCTATACAGAAGAAAACTTAAGTAAGTGAAGAGTTGACTTTTATGCTGATTTATTTCTTCCAAAAATAATCAGCTTTCTTCCAGATATAAAAATAGATTCAAGGTAAGCTTTCTCAATTTTGCCCAATGGTAAAAATGGAGATAACGCCATCCACCCCTCTGGCTTATGGGAAGTAACTTGAGGCGGTGGGCGTCAATCGTGGAGTTCAGGGCGCAGCAGAGTGGTTCTCAGTACACAAATTACAATGAGAACCTTGGGGCCTCTTATGTTTCTGAGCACCTGTGTTCAGAACATGACACAGATGTTAAAAAGTCTCATGGTGAAACATGACTAAAACCCCATAAGGATCACACACTGATATAGTGTTGTCCATAGAACAGTTAGGAAAAACAGTCCACATGCTTACTCCACAGTCCCTGGCCAAAGAAACCAAAACACATGAAGAAAACTGGCTTGAAAACAACAAAAGAAAGAAATACCTATATCAGAATTTAAAACATTTATTTATCAAAGGCACTGTCAGGGTGAAAAGGCAGCCTAGAAAATGGGAGAAAATATATGTAAATCATGTATCTGATAAAGAATATTACAGAAATATAGACAACTCTAACTCAACAATGAAAAAATCCAAGATTAAAATGGACAAAAGACTTGAAGACATTTCACAAAAGATCCAATGTGTCTTCATTATTTAAATCAAGAAAAAAATAACACTTTTTGGCAAGAATGTGGAGAAATTGGAATGCTCGTGTGCTGCTGGTAAGAATGTAAAATGGGGCTGAGCACAGAGGTCATGCCTGTAATTCCAGCTACGCAGGAGGCATAAGTGGAAGGATCCCAGGCCAAAGCTAGCCTTAGCATGAGTGCAATCCCTTACTGGAAAAATAACCTAAGCAAGAAGAAGCTGACATGTGGCTCAAGCACACATCTAGCAAGTACAAGGCTCCTGAGTTCAAACCCAACTACCACAAAATAAGAAAAAAGAAAGAAATGGAAAATGCTACAGCTGCAGTGTGGCAAGTCCTAAAAATACTCACACAAGTATTATATGATTTGACTAAAGATGAAAACAACTCAGCCACTCAGTGGATGACTGGATAAGCAAAATGTAATATATACACAATGGATCATTATTCAGTCTTAAAAAATGAAGAAATTCTAAAACACGCTGGAACGTGGATGAACCTTGAGGACATTGTGTTAAGAGAAATAAGCCAGTCATTAAAAAAAGTATTGTATGACTTTAATATATGAAGGTCCTAGAGAGGTGAATTTCAGAGACCAAAAGCAGAGTGGTGCTTGCCTGGGGCTGGGAGAGGTGGGTAACAGGAGGGACAGTGTAATGGCTACAGAAGTCCTGTTTAGAAAGATGGAAAACATTCTGCAGTTGGGTGGTGGTGGCAGTTGCACATCATGATGGTACTGACACCACAGAACTCATTGTTCAGTTCAGTTAAGAGCACAAAATTGTTAAGAGCATAAAACTGGTGCTATGCAGTGTCCACAATGACATACACACAAACCACATGTGGAAAAATTAGGTTTTATATTCAGCTCTTGATGCACTAACTCACCCTACCACCACAAAAACAGAGCCAAGCATTCTGCTCTTGTTATACATTCAAATTTTTAATGGATGTTTAGAGTCTTTAACAAAGTAATAATATTTTCTCAAAATCAACATATAAATTTACACACCTGTTTTGGACTTCAGTACACTCACTTTTTAGTCCAACAAAACTGGCACCAACAATCAATCCCAGTGCAACTGTGATAAGTGTCTATTTTTAAAAATAAAAATGAAAGTATTACTATGAGAGGTAAAAAAATTGCACATCATTTATTATTATAAGATACATGGCTACATAGTCAGATTTCTCCATTGAAATAAACACTTTAAATGGCTTGACCAGAGTCCTCGGAGAATACAAAACAGTGTATGCTGTTAGCATGTTTTCTAGATTAACTGAAAATCAAGGTGTCTGTTGCTTGGGGAGCTGACAGGACAACAGAGCAGACACTGGAAAAGCTACGATTCCCTACTCCAAGTGCTCTACCAGTCACTGCCAGTCCACGGCCCAGGTCAGGTGCTGGCAACCAAGTCCACTCAGGATAGCAGAGCACTGCAGGCATCTGGGGAAGTCATTTGGGGAAAGAACCAAAGTCCAAGTGGCTAAGTTTTCACCTGGACTGAACCCACACTTTTTGAGAGGGAACATGTACAGTTTTGTAAGTTTAAGTGAAATCAGGATGCCCTTATTCTAAACATTAGAAATACACATTTCAAGGCTGAGGATGCAGTGGTATGGAGATACATAGCACGTGCCAGAATCTGGGACAGAACCTCATCATTGCAAAATGCATAAATAATAAATTTAAATCACTCATGGCACAATTTCTCAATGTAATTCCTTATGACAAGGAAGTAGGGGGAGTTGGTCCCCACCTATCCAACCTCTGGGAAGCTGCATGGAAAAAAAGTGCACTGTCACTGTCACCAAAGCATTCAGCCAGCTCCTTCTGGAGCACCCCGGCACCTCCATTACCCATCTCCTCTGTCATTGCTTCTCCTTCCACCTCAGGTATGGTCAACATGGCACGCCTGGGTGCCGATCCTCACCATCCTCACCTATCTGCACCTACCCAATCTGTGTGGATGGCTCCCAAGCAGAGTGAACCAGCATCACTTTTGGTTTTAAATAAAATGCCTCTACAGCATGTTTCAATTGACAAGGGTTAAAGAGTACATCCTGTATACCTTATTTGAGGGATTCCTTATTCACAGGGTAATTAGAAAGGTGTGGGAAATGGAATCTCAGTACTATAACGATAACAAGACATGAAGTGACTTGTGAAGGACATTTCTGGCAAGTAGCAAGACAAAGTAGAAAAATAGAATCATGACCAGAAAAGACTTGTTTGTAAACAAGAATGAATATTACTTAATGTTTCACTTACAAGATATCCTTAAAATCTCAGAAATTTAGGGGAAAAAATTCATCACCTTGACTCATTGTTATTGACCTCAGAATATCCTCTACTTCATTCCAGTAGATCAATCTTCCAAAATAAATGCTGATGGCTCCACCAACATGCAGTATGCACGGGTATACAAGAGGCTACGCTTTTGCACAGTGTAACTTTGAAGACTATTCAGTTTTTCAACTACACACTCTAAATTCTTTGTTTCTTTTATATTCAAAATTGGTAACTTACGTTAATACTGTCAATGTTACCCGTAGAGGGTTATCTACAGGTTTCAAAGTTCTACAACAATTTTCGGTCAGTTTTCAAACATATTGACAAAACATGAATTCCGTGATCAGATTATGCTTTTACAGATATGTCAGTATTATTGTTTTTTATATGAAGAAAAAGAAAAGCACCAGGCAAATTAAGCAAATTGACACTACTTATCAGTGATAGCACATCCACCTCCCCTGGCTCTACTTTCAACAGAAGGATAAAAAAGAAATTCCCCAAAGATGTTCCTGTATGTTCTGAGGGGATGTTTGTAGCTTTCACTAAAAAAAGAGAATCCATAGTCAAATGGTTCACATGTTAATGGAAATGATGACAGCCCCACAGATTGATGATAACTTTTTCCAGGTTAATTTGATGAGAAAGCACTTGGCACAGTGAATGAACATTAAATCTTCTTATACACACAGATTCATTCATTCCAAAATCTGCCAAATACAGTCTGGTTAGAGCCAAGTCTGAATCATGTAAATAACTGGTTCAAACAAAGTACAGCTAAAGAAAATAGATACAAGATGGATCATCAGAAAGCCATCTAACATTTTAATAACTCTGTGTTCAAAACTTAAAGAAACAAAGGAACCATACTGGACTAAAGACCCCATGCCAAAGAGTCAGTCACTATGGCCCACAGGTAAGCTAAGCCCAACCACCTATTTTTGTTCTGCCTAAAAGCTAAGAATGGTTTTTATACTTTTACAGATGGGGTGAGAGGGGAAAAGTCAAGCTAAATAATTCTTGCAATGTGAAATTCATATGAAACTGAAAGCTCAGTGTCTATGACTATGGCTGTATTGGGATATAGCTACACTACTTTGTTTATGTGTTACCTACAGCTGCTTTCACAATAAAATGGTAGGGTTGATTGTGAATCAGATTATATACTATCTGAGAATTGCAAAATATTTACTATCTGGTTCTTTACCAACAAGGGTTTGTCTATTCCTCATTTAACATTTTAGCATTTTTGAATCTGAACAAGAGTTGTTCCACTAAGCTGAGAGGGATATGAGGTTCTACCTTTATTTTAAAGACTGCTACTGGTGGAATTCACTTTGTGTAATTGAGTCCATTGATGAAGCAGGTAGGCTGAACATGGAACCTGGAGGCCCTACATCTAGTGCTTTATGGAAAAGAAGCCTAAAACCAAAACAAGTATGATCCTGTGTTTGGTAAACAACTGTCTTCTAATTGTGACCTGCCCAGAAGTTATACAGAAGTGTCTTAGAACATGATACTTCTAAATTACTCTTAAAAGCAATTAAAAAAAAAACCCAAACCAGGTGCCAGTGGCTCATCTCTATAATCCTAGTTACTTGGGAAAACAATAACAGGGGGATTGAGGTTACTTCTCCATCAATCTTCTTCATCCCTGCTCTGTTTAAACTTTCTCTACAGTTTCTTCTATCATCAGACATGCTATCAATTTGATTTCTTTCTTCAGTTATCATCTCTCTGCACTCATGAGAAAATAAGTTTCATGAAAGTAGAGACGTTTATTATTATAACTCATGCTGTTCACTACTGTATTAGAGTCCCCAAGGCAACACAGGATCTTGTGTTGAATTTGTTGACTGAACCTGTGAATGAAAGTGGAAAACCCCAAATGTGAATGACATGCATACAACTTTTGAAAACAAAATTCTACTCAAATTATCCATTATAGCTTCTTTAAATCAACCAAAATTTTGAATCCAGTGTCTAAAATAACAACAACAAAAAACCCACCAGAAAAATACTGCATACTAACAACTTAGTTGTGTTTTCTTTGTTCTATCAACTGTCTCTATGTCATGAATGGAGTGGAGATACAAGTAAGAGGAAGGTGGGAAGCAGATAAGCATGAACCTGAGCCTCACCACATCACAGCCGATTGCTCCCGCATCAGCATTTCACAGCACAGTTAAAACAATCACCCGGGAAGATTCTAAGATGGCAGCTAGAGGGAGGAAGCAGAAAGCATGCCTCCTATAGTGAAATCTTGGAGAGACGCTGGAGACACACCTTGCAGGCAAAACTGCCGAGAAGTGGCAAAACTTTGACCCCTCCACACCTCCAGCCGGCACAGAGCATCTCCATTTCACATTAAATGGAGAAATCAGGAGGGCCCCCCGGGCTGCCAGTCGCCCGCACCCAGACGGCTTGGGAGGATGCAGACAAGGTGAGCTTAGCGGTATCGCGGTACTACCACAGACAACCCCGGGCCAGAGCAGCATAGCACCCTGGACAGACCAACCTCCACCCTTGGAAAAAAGAGAAACTGAGTAATAAGCAATAAGAACAATAAAGACACGTGGGAAAGAGGGTGGGGTGCACTGAGTGCTGAAGATTGGGGAAGGGGAATCCTTCCTGGGACTGTAAAATAAACAAGCTGGGCAGGCTGGAGAGGCTCTGGTGGGAGCGGGAGTGCGTGCCCAGCGTGCCCAGCAACCAGAAGTGGGAAAGCTTGTGAGAGTGGTGGAGGGAGGAAAACTCCACAGGAGAGGACCCACTTCCCATGTGAACTGTAAATAAACACACAGACCTGAGAAAGCAGGTGCAGTGTCATGTTCCCCAGTGTGCTTGGAAAGGGGAAAGCTTGTAGCAGAGGTGCACAGAAGACTCTGAGTAAACAAAGCCTGCAGGGCCAGGTTAGTGCTAAGCTCACCCCTGAGATCTGCATAAATAACGCCACCAGCAACAGCAGGCTGAAAGCAGCAGGCAGGTAAGCCACAGCTGCAGATACCATTCTCAGAACTGTCCCAAGACTCTTTTTTTTTTTTCTTTTTCTCCCTACCTTTGATGAGAGAACAACTGAATTACATCTGCATGCTGAAAAACTTACTGAAACTATATTGCATTTGAACTTGGGACACTTGGTGGGGTTTTTTTATGTGTGTGTGTGTGTGTGTGTGTGTGTAGTTTTGTTCTAATTTATGCGTCCCCTTTGATAAGACAACTACAGAACAACATCTGAGGCACCATCTCCAGGATTGGAGACTGAGACAGACACCCAAATTATTAAGACTGAAACTTCATTGCATTTGAACTTGGAGGTTTTTTTGTTTTTTTGTTTTTTTTAAATTTTCTATTTTTCATTTTATTTTATATATATATATATATTTTCTTTCATTTACTTATTTTTTATTTTTATTCTTATCTTTATTTTTTTATTTTTGATTTTCAATCCTCTCTCTGTCTCTCTAATGTCTGTTCAGCTTACTGTCAATTAGTACACTAACACTCCCTGTTTATACCTTTGAAACTTTCTTGTCTGATTCCTTGTTCTGTTTTCTCCTTGTCTGTTTATTTGTTTTTCCCTTTTCTTTACTTCTTGCTTTCCATCTCCTCTCACCCTTCCATTGTTATTATAACAAGCTAGAAAATACTTAATTGCACACAGTACAGGGACAGTAACAACACCAAAGACAATGACAGGAAGACAGAAAAAACAGGGAAACCAGTTTCCGCACAGCAAAAAATTAGTACAGGAATCAGAGGGGAATGAAGAAAACAGATACTCAGATCCAGACTCCAACAA